GGAGAGACTCAGGAGACTCAAGGAAGCGTACCCAACGAAGACGACCCAACAAAGGACAAGACAGAATAGGGTGACTTAAATACAAGGAGAAGACGAGACATGATAGCAAACAGCTGGGACGAGACACAGGTGGCACTAATGGAACTAATGAGGGAGCACGAGGGAAACAGACAAACCGGGCCACAGAAAACTAACATCCTTACATGCTGCTCCTCTTCTGGTTCCTGCTTCTGCCGCTGCTGCCGCTTCTGCGGTCACCGCATTTGGGTTTGCATTTGGGTCTCAACCACCACCCGATCGTGACACTCACAATCTCAGTGTTCAGTGCAGAGACAAAAGGCAAACATGACAGTGTCCAGCTCTTACTGAGAACACGTCCAACTTACTGATGGCTATGCTAACTAGTTTTCTCTAGATACAGGAACTGAATGGTACTTGGTAAGGGGCCATTTATACCATACTCCTAAAGCACCCTTTAGGGGGATAGTCAAACTTTTCTGGGGCAGTGGTTAGAGCAGTCGTCCTCCAGTGGGAGAGTTGGGGGTTTGATTCCACCAGCAGTCAATTATTGAAGTGTCTTTGGGCAAGACACTGAACACTTCATTGCCTCTGATGTGTGTCCCATCAGTGTATGAATAAGATCCAAAGAACTGATTACCGTATTTTCCGCCGTAAACGTCGTACCGCCCTGTAAGTCTCATCAGTCCAATATGTCTAACAAAGTGGAGAAATCCATAAATACGCCGTTTGCTGTATACATCTCATCCATTATGCGTCACCGCTGACGCATCACATTTGTTAAGCGTCACCTCTGACAACAAGGAAATGTGGGCCAAACCCAGAAATGTGGGCCGGTATTGTGCCAAAAATCGATTGGCTGCCAATGGTGGCCGCGGGAGTGTGCACAGGAGGATGTTAACAAGAATTTAACAAGATTAATACTGAAAAGCAATTTTTTTTTTTGCTCAACTTAGTCTAACTTTTGCTCATGCACTTTGACGGTCAAATCAGCTGCATTTTCACAAGCTGATGCACGGAAACAGGAATGCACAGAGGGATGACTTGCTGTGCATTTCTTAAAAATTTAACAAGATAATCACCTAAAAACAATTATGTGTTTGCTCAACTTTATAGTAAAAGAGTGTCTCAGTTGAACTTTTACTTGATAAATGCACTTCAATGGTCAAATTAGCTGCATTTCGCTGGGGTGGCGCAGCGAAATGCAGCTAATTTGACGGTTGCTCCATGCAAACGATGGTAGCAAACTATGATTGTGTCATTAATAGAAACTTTTACCTATTACACGACACAATGGCATTCCATACTACTCGAGTGCCATCTAGCGGCTGAAAATGTTAGTGTTCAATATTTTCAGTCAGAATGAATGAAAACAGTCATATCTCAGCCCAAAATTGGTTTATAAATATGGGGGGAAAAAAATCCATAAATACATTGCTTGGCATATAAGTTACAGAACATTGAAATTATGCAAAAAAAAACCAAAACTGTGACTTATAGGGCAAAAAATACAGTAGTCTTTACATATTCAGATTACCTTTATATATATATGTAGTAGAGTGCTGTATGAATGTGTGTGTGGTGGTAAATAAGGGCACAGATTGTGTTGTATAAAGCTTTGAGTATTTTGATTAGATAGAAATGTGCTATACCATGTTCTAAAGAGACAAAAAACACGTGAACCCGTTGGGCAAATTCCTATGCTCACTTTAGCACCCTAGTGAGGGTATAATGTTGATCTACAGCTCCATGGCCAGGACAACCTTGCTGCTCTTCAGTTTGAGGTTTAACAGTTGACCAGACTCTTCCCTCCAGGGGCTTCATGTATGAACGGTGCATTCATAGAAAAAAGTTGCGTTGCCAGGTTTCATGCAAATGTCAGGATGTATCCACACAAATGTTAGATGAAGATGTGATTAATTATACGCAAACTTCTGACATGCCATGTGCATACCTCCACAAAAACATTTTCAGTCCACTGTATCAAATTACACTTCAACACTTGCTTTTGTCAAGGGAGGATGTCTTCTCCTCCTTTCCCTCTCTGCTTTGCTTTTGCTCTCTCCTGTCTGTGAAACTGCTTTAGAGCTTCTCTTCTACAAATCTTCTGAATCATAATTATGGATTTGGATTTGATCAGTTGGTCCCTCAACACAATTAATAACGTTTCTTTGAAGAGAAGACACGCTTTAGGCAAGCCGATTTGCCCTTTTGGCATGCACACAGATGGATATCTCATTGACTTGGAAGACTTGGTGATGTGTCTATCTCTGCTGTCATTTGTGGATTTTAAGGATGGATTTATGATCACTGGTTCCTGCTTTTTGGATTTGGTTGGTTTCTGGTTTATCTACAATCGAGGATGTCGTCTGCAGCAAATTTGGACCTGATCAGGCTGCCTGCCTTATGATGGGTTGGTTCGTGCCTTGAGCACCCAGACTCAAATGCTTTTGGCAGGATGGATCAGATCTTGGGGATTATTCTTAGGCATGGTCCATTGGTGTGGCCATGTAATGTGGACGTTTCGGAACCGAGTGGACCGACACAGACTCAAGGTAGATGTTATTAAAGTACTGCCTGTCCCCAAAACAATCATGTTTTTCTGAATTCGGCTCCCTGACTGGCCTTGACAGGCCATCTTATCTCAACCTGCCTGGAAGTTCTGTAAAACTGAAGCTCTGCCCCCTCCCTCCCCTCTTACCGAGGAATTTCCATGGACTTTTCAGAGGGGCCCAGCTAAATAAACATTCTGGCATCATTTCAGGACTCTCTGGATTAGTCCTTGGCTGTCCTCGGCACCCTCTGAGTGTGTACAGATCTCTTCAGAGGGAACTATTTGAACTGAGTGATTTTATCTGAACTCTGCAGTGCCTCTGTGCATTGTCTCTGACTGCTCACCATCCTTGCATCCTCCCCCCGTAATGTCGGCGTCATTATGTGCTAGTGTGCAAGATTGTTTTTTCATTATCACTCTGTTGATCTTCAACCAAAGATTAAAAGCGTGATAGGAAATTTTTTTTGTCTCCAAACCCTATGAGTCATTTTTCACCACTTTTATTGTCTGTCCTAACAGGTCTCACTTATAAATGAGTCTTTGAGGCTCAATGTGATTTATCTGTTTAAATAAAGGTTGAATAAATGAATGGATGAACAAAGTACTGAAACACATAGATACTCCAAAACCTGACTCTGTTTTTTTTTTTTTAACCCAGGAGTTTGAGAATTTATGGTTTAAATACGAAAGAGGAAACTGAACCACATTTAACCTCATCAAACACAATGCACAACACACCGCAAAAATTATGGAAACAACTTCACTTTAACGTAAACTGTAAAGTTTCTTATATTTTTGTTACATGTCGATGTAAACATGCGTCATTGACCAGACTAATGGAACGTTTAAAATGTGTGAATGTGGTGCACTGTCACTGAAAACAAAGAAGTGCTGGATCAGCAACTTACACGTAATGATTCCTCAGAACAACATGGTGGTGTGTCAACCAAGACAGCCCTACAATATTCACAGCCTTCAGATGGACGAATCTCGTCCACCCCGTGGCCCCACCACCTCTCAGATATTTGACCACCTCTGTCCTCATCAATAATTTTATTTTTTGTCTGATATTTTATGGGATGTTTGATGTTGGTGAGTGTGTGATTGTGTATTTTTGTTTTCACCTGGTTGCAAAGCAAAGCTCCCTTAAGTTGTACAGAGTTGAGTGGATACCTATAGTTTAAATAAACCTCAGTTAAAGAAATATTTCAACAATACTTGGATTTGTCAGCATTGAAGTAACTTTGCTTTATGTCAGTATCAGTTTCTGTTTATTTATTCACCCATTTTTAAATCTTAACCTGGTCTTTATTAGTCTATTTTTTTGTGGATGTTTTCATTTATTTAAGAATATTTTTTTTGTATTGCATGGTTTTTAATTATGTATGAAACTTTATGAATTTATTGGTTAGGAGTTGTCATTTTTAATACTTTTAAAATGTAAATAATTGCAATTTGTTTGTAGATGTTGTAATTTTGTATTGTGTTTTTAGGGTGACTTTGTAATATTTACAAAAGGACAATGTAAAAAATAATGACTTTCTCTGGTACTGTGGTACTCTAGTAGTACAATGATGCCCATGTGTACTCTCCTTTCTAAATAAACTCACAAACTGAACTAACTGTTTTCTGCTACTTTGCCAATAGGCTGGCTGACCTCATGGAGCAGTATCAGGAGGAGCTAGCCACCATTGAAACTATTGACTCGGGAGCTGTTTACACTCTGGCCCTTAAGACCCATGTGGGCATGTCTATCCAGACATTTCGCTACTTCGCTGGCTGGTGTGACAAGATCCAAGTAAGCCATCTGATAAAACTGATTACAAACAAGAGGGCAGTGGTGATTGTTAGTGGTAATGGGTGAGGGGGCTTGCACACACATGATAAAATCCTATTGATTACACGTCTAAGACAAAAACATGTCTGAGATACAAGAAACAAGCTTTAAAAACAACATTGTCTTTTTTATTAACAAAGTGATCAAATAAAAGTGGTAAAGAAAATACTTTGTATTACCCACCCACATGTCCTACAGTGTAGGGAAATCATTAAATTGGACACTACTGCAGGACACATTCTAGCTGTGAAAATCAGAACTGATGATTTTTGAACAACAATGTACATTTAGCAAAATTTAAAAGAGGGCTCACTCAATCAAGTTCAAAACTGTCTCGTAAACAAACAAACAAAAAAATAACCCTGGCGCATGACTATAGTGAAATTATAAGTAAAGAGTTTTTTAATAGCAGCAGTTTAAACTGTCAGTCATTACAATCAGTATGGTTACATCACTCAAACTGTATGAGTGACGTTCCTCTGGTTGAATGCTGCAGCCTGCAGGCAGGCTATGGAAAACCAGAGAGACATGATTTGTGCACAATGAAATGCC